TTCTTAATGTAGTATTTAATTTTATCATTCTTATCTTATGTTTTCTAGATAAATTTCATCAATGTTTGTGATCGATTAAATTTCAAAAAAATAAATTTAATTTATTATTTTTTGTTCTATATTTAATAGTAAAATAAACAACGAAAGAAAGGTTATAAAAACTAAGTGTAAATATCGGGATGCAAAAATGTCATATAGTATCAAATTACGAAATGTTTCTGTTCAATTTTGAGCTTTCTTCAGTCTAATGTGATGTAATCAAAAAAAGGAAAAGAATTTGAGATGAATTAAATTAATAAAATTTATATATAATAGTTATAATATAAATGGATAAATTAGGGCAAAGTGCGGCGGATTTATCGTAATTGTGATCACGCACAAAACGTATGCGTATGTGCGACAGTTAATAGTAAAAAAATTTTAAAAGACAAAGTAGCGGAATATGAAACAAATTTTAATTTTTACTAAATGAATTGATTAAGATTGTTAAAATGTGACATACTCCCTGTCGATTGTGAAGCATTCGGTTCCAGGCGGTAGAGCAATAGCACTAGCTTGTCGTTTAGTATCGCCGTTATCGTACAGCGCTTTCTCACCAAAATAATCGCCCTTTTCAAGTACTGTCAATTCCTCTTCTATTCCGTATGGGTTGAGTTTCGTGATTCTGACGCTACCGCCATGTATTATGAAAAATTTATCTCCTGGATCTCCTTCGCGTATGATGTATGAATGAGAGCAATAAAATTCCTGACGTAATAATATTTACATTGACCTTTTTAAGTAGTTTGCCATAACGTTTTTCAGATTTCTTTTACAATATTTAATATTTTTGTAATATTATTCGAACTATTTTTCTATTAAGTAAAAAATTGAGTAACATTTTTTAAATTTAAATTTAATTTTAAATTTTTTTAGAAAAATCAGGGTCTATACAAAAATGTAAATTAAAAGAACAATAATTACGCACGATTATGTATGTAGTGTTTTACGTACAACAGTTATCAAATCGGACATTTTTAGAAGAACTTCCTCGGGAAATGTTTGTAACACAGAAAGACGACGGAGAACTTGTATATTATACTGCGTAGATTCTTCATCAGTTCTCTGCATTATTGCTTGAAAAACCTTGCGATCTAGGACCCAAATTTGCCCATCTGTTTGCGCTAAATTAAGTATTTTCCAAATTAAAAAACGCGAAAAATGCAGTACGCATTCTATTAATATAAATATCTTTAGCTTTGAGAAAAATGCGCGTATAGATGATTGAAAAAATAAATAGCTAATATTAGTTTTTCTTTTCGATACCATCAATCGAGGATGATCTTTTCGTGTTGTATAACAATGCCAATTCTCCAAAAGCGACGCCAGGTCCGAAACTGCCATAAGATACGTTATTCACATTAATCTCAAAGATTCCACTTGCCGACACGTACAAGTGAGACCCTGTTACAAAATATCGCAGAAAATAAAGTGTGTATTCTTAAAATGCATTAATATGCATTAATTATGCCAGTTGTGATTTTTTCTATTTATTTCACGAGATTTCGTTTGTTTTAACTGATTCCAACATTTAGAAACTGGCAAATAGAAAGACTCTTGAAATTAAAAGAATTTTCCATTAGTCGTAACTCACCTGTTTCACCTTGGGAGATAAGTCGTGTTTGCCCTTTAATTTTTTTCGGATACATAGCCGAAATAAGTTCCTCGAGACGAGATTCATCGAGATCTCCCAGAAATTTGTTGTCTCGAATAGCAGTTTTAATTAGTTTTCGCGTTCTATAAAGTATGCCGCAAAATTTTAATTGGAAACTTTACACTTGTAGTGATTGAATTTATTTTGAATTTGAGAAAGAGAGAGAGAATTCCGTTCAATTAAACTCTTATTCTTATAATTTATATCTTAAAATTCTTATAATTTGAAAGAAAAAAAATCCTGCAAATAAATTTAATTTTTTGAACTTTGAAATTTATTTTTTAGAATTTTGAAAAAATAAAAACTTATGTTGATGTCAAAAATTTAGGAAAATTAATTAGAATTTATTTTTTGAGTTTTAGATTTTTATAAATGTTTAGAAAAGCATTAAATTTTGCAATTATATATGAAATCGCGCCAAGATTATTATAAGTTTTACGTAATAGATTCTGTACTCTGTATTCTTGTCGAAGTGCGGGATTTCGGTTACTGACACGTCGATCTCACCCATAACACCACGCTTACGTTGATGGGTCAAAAGCCGATAAAACTCGTTTTCTTTTTGGATATCGTAACTTTTATCATTTCGAATTAGATTAACACTGCCACTGCCATTGCCAAAGATCTTTCGCAAACAGAGTGCATGCATTTTATCTTATTATACATTCGTCTGCAATCAATTATTACATCATTATGTTTTTGCCGAGACCTATATTTATTTAAAAATATCTCTTTACGCTGATATTTTTAAAATTATTTTTGTGATTCATTTTTTTATCATATTACGTAACTTTCCTGTTATATTGCTTAACAGTTGATGCAATTTTGGCATTTTTTATTGCAAAGAAATATTTTTCTTTTTATAGAAAAATTTTAGCACATTTTATAATACAAAAATATAATTTAAACTAAACACAATTTGAATAAATTAAGTTTGAAAGGAGAGAAAATCATTATACATGTTAAATAACGAGTGATGATTCACCTTACAATAACAAAAATTGTGAACAAAGTATTTGTCTGGATTAAAATCTATTTTTTTGTTAAAATTCGCGAACTTACCTGGTCAAATAGAATAATTCAATAAGAATTTTCTGCGTTGCGTTACATTGGATAACAGCGAACGACTGACTGGTCGATTCAATTGCAGAATTTATGACAGATCTTATCTGCGATGGATAGCGAACGTTAGTTGCCACAGCGATTTATAAAGGCTAGTGCAATTTTTATTATTGTTGACAAAATCATCAGTTTGATAAGGTCGATAATATTGCAAAGTGATTAAATCCGGAAAGTGATCTTTGTGCAGATGATATGACATGTTGTTATACATATATTTATATGCGGGGGATTAGTGTTTTATAGTAACAATAGTGTGCGTCAGCAATACAAATCTATAAATCCGCGATAACATTTAATTGCGTTTGTTGAAAATGCTGAAATAAATGAAAAAAAGTATGAAAGGAGTGAAAATTATTATACGTGTTAATTGAAACAGTGTTTTATAGTAATAATGTTCCCTCTTTTTCTCTCTCTTTCTCTCTATTTAAATAATGTTATATATTTTTATTTCAAAGAAAACTGAGTTGTTTACGAACATTAAAAAATATTAGGAATTAAGAATAGGAGAAAATTTAATGCTTGGTGCATTAGTAATTAATTATAATTAGTTATAAAATTATTTATTTGCAAACGTATATAACATATTGTTATATATTAGAATATATAACAATATATTGTTATATATTGTAATACATACACCTTAAAACTATATTCTGATTCGTACGATCAAACCGGTCTAATAAAATGCCTCACTTACAACTTAAGGTTCTCGTTCTGGTCAGAAAAAATATTATACAAGATACAATATTAATATCGTACAATTAACATTTTTTTAAAAATACAAAATAGAGTACAGAATACGTATATGCATCTTTCGTCGAGATACACCGGAATCTCAGTGATTGCTTATGAAGAAGTAATTTCTTATATCAGCGAATTATTTTCTATATTCGAGTGATTCGCCTGTTAAAAGTTAAAGAATCTTAATCGATTATGTGAGTAAGTTAAAAACATTGTTAATTAATGTTGCGAGGAGCTTCAAATAATTTTAGGCTTTATATAAAAATTTTGTAATGAAATAATTTGCCAACTAGCTGACAAAAGTGTAGCAAATTATTATTAGCAAATTCGTTCAACTGATATTTGATGACAGTTTAGTAAAAGAACATCTTTCACAATGATTGCAAGAAACGTATTTCTTTTATAACAATAGCATAAAGATCGTGTTCAAAATGTTATCTTTATATCTATTATTCAACTCCGTCGTAGAGATAATTTAGAGATAATTTAGCTTCAGAATTCGATGTCCCAACCGGAAAATTCGTCTGGTGGAATATCGCGGTCCGGTGGGTATCTTTCAAAGTATCGTGTGTCGAGTTGATGACGTACCTAAAAGCATACGAATAAATTGAATTTCTATACATAATATTTTTCCGTAAAATATAGAACGGAATATTGCTTGATTAGCTGTGAAAGTTTATTAGATTATAGCATAATATTGATAAACGTACCGTAGGTACAATGGGAGCCGGTAAAGCTAATCTTTGAAGTGCTTGCCAGTTGAATCCGGAAAACCATCTGTTCACAAAATAGAAATAGGAATTATATTTGTTATTCTACATTATTATAACACGTGCCGCTCTTTCTCTGTATTATACATATATACATGAAACATTCAAAATTTTACAAGTTTCATAAAAACGTTAGTTTAAAATATTTATTAATATATAAAATATTTGAAGAAATTAGATCAATTTTGTTAAACGAATTTCTATTCAAAAATTTCTTTTAATTTGCATTGTTGTTTCCTTTGAAATTTTTTCAACACTTACTTGTGATCGCGAATGTCCTGTATCCCGTTTCGCTGATAGCCCAGTCGTTCCGAGGGACTCAAACGGAGTAGTTTTTTAATGAGATTACTGGCGTTTTTATTGACGATGTTCGATACACCGACCATATCGATGCCCTTCAGGATCTTGTTGTAAGTCGTCAAGTGATCGGATCCGCGGAAAGGTGGCTTACCGATGAGAAGCTCGTGCGTTAAAATGCCGAGGGCCCAATAATCCACCGCCCTGACAAAATTACGAAATAAAAATAAAAACATATAAAAAAACTTGCAGAGTAATAATTAAATGATAGATGTAAAAAGATTCAAATTTCTTACCTATCGTGTCCTTTATTCAAAATAATTTCTGGTGCGACATACTCGGGTGTGCCGGCAAAAGTCCATGTTTTGGCTGGACCAATTTTTTTACTAAAACCAAAATCCACCTAAAAAGAAAAATTATATGTTTATAAAATTTATCATGAGCCATGATAGTGATTCAAATAATTTAGTATAATTTTTTTTGAGCGATTTTAACGAATAACTCCCACCAGTTTCAAATAGCCGCGCGTGTCGAGCATAAGATTCTCCGGTTTGAGATCTCGGTACACGATATTTAACGAGTGAAGATGGTCAAGGGCTTCTACTACACAGCCGACCATGAATCGTGCGGTGGTGTCGTCAAAGTAGCGTCTTTTTTGTAGAGTCGTCCATACGTCTCCACCGAGGCATACTTCCATTAGGAAATAGACATACTTGCTGTCCTTGTATGTCTGGTAAAGCCTAGAAATATAAAATTATAATTTTGTTTCAACTGCAATATTTTACGATTTATTTAAAAATTTTCCTAGTTTTTATGAAATTTATCGGGAAAATGCTTCGTGTCAATTTACTTTTTTTCTATTATTTTTATGTAATTGTAAGAATATGTTAAATTGTGAAAGATGTGAAAAAAACTATTTATTATATTATTTTAACAATAAGCGTATCAATCTTTCAGGAAGCAATCGCAAGATTATATTTTTTGAGTTTATTATATATAATATTTGAATACTACATCTTAAAATTCTAACACTGAATCTTGTTAGACATCTTTACTTACTTGCATATAAATGGCGAGTCGCAGGCTTGCATAATGTATTTTTCGTTCAACACGTGTTCTTGCTGTTGCTGGTCAACCATAACCTTCTTCTTAAGTTTCTTCAAAGCAAAGCTCTTATTTGGATCAGATTTCAGAGTGACCAATTCGACACGACCGAATCCACCCACTCCTAACGTTCCCCTTGTTTCAAGATCGGCCAAAGTCAACTTTGCGTACTCATTCGTCCACTTCTTCGGAGTCAATGAACGCTTTTGTTTTTCGTACTCCGCCAACCAGTCCTTGTTGCGGATTTCGTCGAGACTCCCCAGATAGTTCAGGAAAGACCTGATAATTTCTTTAATTATTATAATATTTTGAAGTAACCAACACAAAAATTCCTAAAACCCATCGTTATTTGATAATTAAATTTTTTGGTGTGAACAAACGAATATTTGTACCAACACCGCGATCTTAAATTTTCAAGCATACCGTATAAATATATGATAAAATTGTATCATGTTGTCCATCTTCACGTAAAACACTCATAATATTTAATACAAATTACAAACAATTTTCTCTATTATTTTAGGAATATTAAATATATTGGGGAATCACGTTCTCGAGATTCAACTGGAAAGCACTTTGAGAGTTTGTTTCGATCGCACAGGTATAGAAAAAACACGCTCACGCTAGAAACATGTGTGTTTTTAACTTTTCACATTCTGTAACTGTAACTCACGTTCTGTCTAACGTCAAGCATTCGACGCCAGGCGCAAGCGCAATTGCATTGGCACGTCGTTCTCCTCCGTCGTCGTAGAGGGCCAATTCGCCAAAATAATCTCCCTTGCCGAGGACTACTAGCTCCTCTTCGCCTCCATACTCGGTATCCTTGGTAATCCGCACGTTGCCGCCGCTTATTATGTAAAATTTCTCGCCCTTTTCGCCCTGCCGCAGTATTTTCGCCTCAGCCGGGAAGAACTCCTGCGCGCAAACATTATTGTGACACTCTTCTATGTCGTATTATGAACTGAGCGGTGACAACATTAGGCAATGTTTTTATTTACTATTCTTATGAGGTCGGATATTTTCGCGAGCACATGATCCTTGGGTTCGGGGAGTTTCTGGAGAACAGAAACGCGTTGGAGGAAGCGAATGTTGCCCTCCAGCTGTTCTTGAGCCGTTTTCATCATTATAGTGAGAAATACAGATCTGTCTAGCACCCATACTTTTCCGCTGTTTTTCACTGAAACCGGGCCATTATTAGTTTAAAAAGTAAAAATTTATTAATAATTTTATGATCTATAAATCTATGTTATGGCAGTGTTTGATAATATTATTAATTACTGATTAATCACTTCATAAGAAATTGAGAAATAGTTTCATATAGAATATTAAGCGAGATATTTTTTTCAAAATTAATTTATTTTTTATATATTACCGCTGATGGATCGAAGTCTCTTCGTGTTGTATAATAGAGCGATTTCTCCAAACGCGATTCCTGGTCCGAAGCTTCTTTGGAATTTGTTTCCCTCATAAATCTCAAAATCTCCCTCCGCTGATACGTACAAGTGCGAGCCTGTAAACGATACATATGTGCAAAGTTATAATTATACATATTACAATTTTTTATAACAGTCGTGGAAAGCATTAGTAATAATTTTGATGTTATAACAATGGTATTTATAAAATTTGCATGTGAACACATACCCATGTCACCTTCTCGGATAACCAAAGTATTAGCGATAATTTGTTTCGGATACATAGCGGAGACGAGCGCCTCTACTTGATTCTCTTCAAGATTACCTAGAAATTCGTTTTCCAAAATGGCCCTTTTAATTTGCCTCGCACTCCTACGAATAAAGAAAGCAACAATTAAGTTCTATTTTTTTTTCGGGTTAATTTTGATTATATGTTATTAATTCTAATATTATATTAATATTCTAATCACCTGGCATCCTTTTCGTACATGGGCGTCGGTGCCGAAGGTGGCGTCGGCGTTCTTCCGATAACACCACCTCTTGGATTGTTCATATGTTGCTCGCCACTGTTCGCAGCAGCAGTATTTTCTAATTTAGGTTGTTCTTGATTGTTTTTGTTTACGGAAACATGATTGACATGATTGGCCTCAGACGGCGATGGCGGTGTTACGGGCTCTACGGGCGACGTACGCTGCGAGTACGATGACGGACCGACGCCATTTATAGTTACGGAGGGCAAAGTATCGGAAAACGGACGTATCTAATTGAAACGATAGGAGACAATGATTAAAAACTGTCTTATCCTTTTGTGAAAGAGAAATTTTTTAATTTTGAATGAAAGATTTTTTAAATATGAAGTTGTAGGCTCGTTTAATGATGAACGATTCATTAATAGATCGATTAATAGATCGATAATAGGACTTACAACGCCATGTGGCAAATCTAGTTCACCGTATTGCTTGTACCTGGCAATTCCCTGCCTCGCGTTCCCATTCTGAAAATATTCGGACGACTTAATCTTTGTTCGAACGGGAGTAATCGAGAAATTAAAACTTACCTCGCTCGAAGTGGTAATGTTGCTAGATTCCTCGTGGTTTGGCAGAGAGGTGAGATTGATGCTACCCCTCTGCCCGAGGATGGCTCTCGGGAAGCACGAGAACTTCATATTATCTTCTTCCAACGCATGTCCAAAACAAATTCTTTTGACGCCTGAAAAGAAAATTCTTTCAGTATTTATTTTAAGTAGCAGCACGAAAGCTTGAATTATTGTATTAAAAAGGAAATATATATATTTATATATTTTAAATTAAAATAAGAAACCGTATGCAGGAAAAACAAGCAGGATAGAAATTAATTTCTTTTTATACAAAAACTCCAATGAAATATATCATGCGTAGCAAAAGCTGAAAAGTTGAGCGACATTTTAATATATTAATATAATCGTGTCGTAGAATGATAATTGCAAAAGATAATTTCTATAGAAGAATTTTCCTATTTATTTGTCAAAATTTAAAGCCTTTCTCACATAATTATTTTTACATCAAATAATTAATTTAATCAATTAATGAAATTAAATAAAGGATGAAACAATTAATTCAATTTCTGATCTGAGGTATGCATAATTTTATTCGTCAAAAATCCCAACTATATCTTGTTAATAACGGTCTCTCGCTTCTTTCTAAACAATTTAATTAGGCAAATGATCATAATTGAGTGTCGCGCTAGAATAGTCGCTCGATTATCACTCACTCACTCACGTCACGTTTTCTTTTCCATAGCGTTCACTTAACAGGTAATTGTTCTTCGATATCGTTTAACGCGGAGGTCACTCATGATCAGCATTCAATGCCTTTGTTGAATGCTTCGGTTCTCTCGGGTTACGTTACTCTCATTGTACAGCTATTACATTTTTTGTGACACACAGTTTTCATACGACTATGCGGTCTCTGCGCGAGTCGATTGCTTCCAGCACCAGTCACATGCTTATGCTAATGGTGTTTGGTGCACGTGATATATTGTACCTTGACGTCACAATACATTAGCACATATTCATGATGAGAATATTCTCGACTTCACCCAGCCTGATCATCCTTTCTTCTTTGTTAAGCTTTTCGCGACTATGACACTTTTTTCTGGAGGAAAAAAAAAACACTACACGAGCTCACGGTGACCTACAAATCTATTTTATGTATAAAAATTTACTAAGAAAAAAAATTTTCAACCATTTCTTGTGACAGATTTGGCTTCTCTGTTTCCAAACCAGATTAAATTAATTTTAATTACAAATTTTCTTTAAATAAAACTAATGCATCTAAAAAATTTAGATTGACAAATAGATGCAATTAATAACATAAACTTTTACAACTTATAAATTATTAATACAATTTAAACTATTAATCCCTGGATTGTTCGAAATATTGTATAAAGTTAAATAGTTTATCTTGTATATAAAAACAGTTATAAAAATTGCCAGGTTGCAAGCACAATCTTGGTTTTTTTTTATCATTTTTGAAGAGTTAAAGCATAATTGTATCAATAAAGCTTCTTCAGAAAAGAACGGTGACAAGGTCCGTACATATCTTGCGCGACGTTTTGATAATCCAGGCTACACATCGCGCCATCACTTTGCTGTTGATTTTGTCGCGATTGTGATTCAGCGGTTTACAGCCGCTTTTATTGGAATCATTCGTAAGATGCGCGTGATATTGTATTTATTCTCTTCTAATCTTCTCTCGAGCATTGTTTAACGAGAATCGCAAGAGTCGCTGTGTTTATCACTAATATGCAAACAGCGTAGGAATCTCGAGGTGACATTTTTTAGTACGATGATAATTTTAGTACGCCCATTATCCGCGATGTTTTAAAAGTTTTATATCGGTTATTGTTAGTTTTTGCGATATCACCGTAGAATGACTTTTCTTCTATCAACACTGGATTAAACTATCTTCCTGAGATTCTTAGAATTTTCACATTCTTCTTAAATCTTCGCAAATATTCTTTTAACTAAAAGATAAAGCCGACTCGAGATTAATTTAGAAAAAAACTGTGTTATTGATTTTTTGTACTTGTGAAATTTTTTTGCTAAAATTTTTAAACATGTTAAAGAAAAATGGATTAAATTGTCGAGAAGAAATATGATTCTGTTTGCCACATCAAGTTTGCTTTATTTAATTATCAAAACATGTGCAATTCTTGCTTATCATAAAATTTTGCGACAATTCATTAAACAAAATATTAATAACATCGTTATTAAAATATCATCACAGTTTTTAAATAAAATACGATTATACGAGTAAATAAAGAAAATACAAAATACAAAATTAGTGATAGGTACAATTTTAACGCAAAGCATTGCACAAATTCTATAATGATGCATGGCCTCGTTACGAGACGCAAGGTCGACTCGTATCGGATTGTATGTACTATATCAGGAGCATGATAACGATATTTGATTAAACATACGGTAGAGACGATTGTCCAAACGTTAATTATAGCGCGCCTTGACGTGCATGATAAACTTTGCGGTTAGTTGATTAATTAAGTGACTTTTCTACCAGAGAGTTCTTTTGTTAAAGTTTTTTATCGTTTTTCCCGCTCTACGTATGTGATTAGGAAATTGTATCAAATATGGTTGCGTCGTTGCGAAGTAATTGAATTTATACTCGCGTGAGATCCCACTGCGTAACGAATTATGAAAATTATATAACCATAATTAACAAGGCGATACCATCGCTGTTCATTATTTGCGCGGGCAGATCGCTCGTTTTTCCATCGCCTTCGAAAATAAACGATAAGAAAGCTTTACCCGCTTCCGGTATCGCGTAATGTGCGAATTAATTGGGCGACTTTTACATAACAACAAACGTGAAAGCAACTGAAAGAAGTATATCGTCTCATAACGTAGAAAACTTTTACAGAGAACGATAGTTTTGCTACAGTTTTGCTGATAAGAAAAATTTATAGCGTGATAGTGCAAGTTGTAAAGTATTTAACTGAACAAGTGGTGGCCGTGAAATTTATCTGTTGACAAATTTATGCCAATGTATAAATATATTTATATAAGTAGATAAGTAAGATTAGTTTAAATAATTATTTATTGTTTATGATATTATAAATAAATATAGCGTTTAATTTTTTCTATACATAAAAATTTCCAAAACAGGAATATCGCCAAAGTTTGATTTTAATTATTTAAATTAAAAAATACTTATATAATATTGATTTTTATTAAAAATAATAATTATTAATAAGATAATTAGTGCTATAATTAGTTTCTTTTATACAAAAGTCGTTCATCAGATTCAATTTTATTTGTTCATTTATTGTTTTTATTTATTCTTTGCGTTTTGTATCACAGTATAATAGATTTATGCTCATACACTATGTTGTGTAAAATTCAATTTTTTATATGCTTTGAAGAAAAAAATATGTACGACGAGGAAAATTGAGAATTGAAACAGTGGTCAGTTGGCAATGACACCGTAACTGCATCGCCATACGCTTTATGCGAAATGACATTTCCTGTTTCTGCAATGGCGAAGGCGCCTCGTTAACGGCACAGTATTAGGATCTTGAGGATAATTGCAGTTCGCGGCTTAATGAGAAACGATGCGCTCGGCGCATCGCACGACACTTTTGTTTCGCTTTTGCTGTTGTTTATGTAAAAATCGCGAGGTCACAAGTTGCGGAAACTCGACGGCAACGGCATAATGATATCGTAATCTGTTGCACAATGCGCACACGGTGTGGATTTCCAGACGGAAAATGCACGGGCGATATGCGAGCGAGCACGCGTGTCATCGCGGTTACGAAAACGCCGATGCCATAACGAGGATAAATAATAGTGATTTTTATGAGCCTCGTTGAATTTCAAAAGAAATACGGCTATTGTGTCTTTTTAAACGATCCAACGTATTGTTTCTGGACGATAACGCATTGTGGGTTTTATAACCGTTAAAAAAAGTTTTTTTAACTCCAGCTCGATGCACGATTATTTATTGGCGAATTTCAATTCGATTCGAATTTGTTCTGAATAAAAATGTGACAGATTTTTCTAACTTTTTTCACTATTTTATTATTCTTAATATACATATATTCAATTTGATTTGATTGAATATATTATATTTTGATTGATAACTTAACGTTAAACATAATTCCGTTCATTTGTAATCCTAAAATTTGGTATCCCAAAATTCTTTGTTGCAGATATTTAACGATAAACTTATTTATTAGGAATGCAACTGTACACTGAAAAGTCAAGCTTTCAAAATGTAAATGTCTTTTTATATGCAATGAGAAAAAAAGTCCAAATTCCAACCAGATTCCAAAACTCGTTCCTTTTTTGTACATTCTACAGTTTTGCCTTCTAAAAATTACACAAGGATATCTTCTTGATATCTGTGCGCATAATTACGAGTCTCGTGTTCTGTTACTTCATATGATATTTTTACGCTTTGTAAACATTTTATAACACGATGCGAGAATAATATAGCGGTCTATATATAGTATTAACGCACGGCAATTAACGTACAGAGAGCAAGCAGAAAATACGTGTCGAGCGCTGCCCGATGTTTTATCGATATATTTGCCGAGAGGTCTGCGTGTACATTTTAAGTCGCGGACAATTACGGCAATATTGTTTTTTGTAACATCACTTACGTATAGACGCCTCTTTATTACGCGTTTAATCAACTGTGCCGGCAACCGAGGTTAATTAACTTCATCCACGCATATGTGTATATAGCTATAATTAATCCTCCTAAGAGCTACACACGTGTAAATTACACGCACGTTTGTTTTCCGAAGAATAGCTATCTTTTGTGCCTTCTTTGGCGATTATTCCCGATTCATCGCTCAACAGCTGCTTTTAAGCGGTTCTCTCAACTTCTTTGTGTGCGAGACAAATATCAGCATAATGATAAAAAATTAAAATATAATTTCAATTAGTGATGTAAATATAACAACAAAAGGAAACAGTTATCAAGTAACTTTATAAATTTTTAATAAATATAATGAGATGTGTGATTGTTTTTCTAAATGTAATTGAAATTTTCTTCTGTAATTGATATCACATTCAGTTGTTTTAAGATTATAATAATAGATTTTTTTTTCGAGAAATCTGAGAGAGAATGTTGATCACAATGTATTTTTTTTGCAAGAAAACTTCGGTTATACTATAAAATGATACGATCAAGTTACTTAACAATCTAACATTTATCTCGTCGTGACACTGATGAAACGATGAAGATCTTATCGCCCGACTGTTTTTCCTCTGATTATGCATCACGGAATGCAAGACCGATCTTGAAATTTATCAGTCGCAGACGATATCGAGAACACAAATTGATGTTTCCGCTAGATAACGTCTTGCGCGGAAAAATGAACACATACTAGGAATTAAATACGTTAATCCCTCTTTTGTTGCATTAATAAAACAAACCTGACCGAAAACACACACTTGTCAGCTATCGCTTTTCGGGACTCACCCCTCAGGTTGACGTTCGAAATGTTTCGAGATGTGTCGAAAATCCTGCGCCGAGAGGCGTCCGTGGGACGGAAAGATACCGACCTCGCGGAAGATTATGTTTGCGCGATTCGGAAACGTAAATTCTTCGCTTTTTCCGTCGCGACGACGGTGCTGCACCGTGCGAATTCGCGCATTCGACTGATACCTCAAGTTCGACAAAGACGCAGAAATCTTATCTAGCCGATAACAAGAGCGGCGACGGGCAGTGTCAACAGGCAGGTATACGCGGCGCGCGAGCATCTTATCTAATAAGTCTATTCTCTTTTCATTAATAAAGCCACCTTCGCGCTCTTTGTCGAATTCGGCTCTCCGGCAGTAATCCTCGGGAGAAATATATTTTTCCTGTTGACCAGCAACATTACGATCTGCTTGCTCAATCTTTTATAAAGTGAGTTAAAAATAGAGCGTCAAAAATAACTAAAATTTAAAAAAAATTTGTTATATATAAATTTGCCAGAATTATTGGAAACATTATTTTGTTTTGTTAAACAAAACGTTTATAATTTAAATTGGAACAAAATACTGAATTTTATTAAATAATATGCATATTTAATATTTCTTTTTATTTAGTATTTCTTTTTAAACAATATTATTTTCTAGATGAAAAAATGTCTTGTAAAAATTGCAAATAATATTGACCTATTTTGTTAATATTATTATCATAATATCTTATTTATTAATATTTATTATAATTTAAATTATGATAATGTTATGGAGAAGCTCGAGAATTAGAAACGGTAATTCTGTATGATAATTCTCTCTCACTCTCTCTCTTCTCTTTTACGTATTTTTTTACATTAATAAATGAATATTTATAGGCATTCTTCTACGTTGATTTACGTTGGTTGGTTCCATTACACGCAGAAATTTATCACGCTTTCGAGACTAGAAACTTGAATACGAAATAGTAATTTTCTTTGAATCTCTCTATGTGCTGACGCACAGATTTTACTGACTCAGCAATGTTCTCCGGTTTGCATTCTCGCATTGATAACCGAAAGCCGCACGTGTCGAAATTTTTATTATACCGATAAAGTTGTAATCAGGATACGTGATATCCGATCCGACGGCGTTTCGAATTTTAGACGTGTGCCAGCGACGATTAAAAATAAGTCATCGGCGGCACATTGAAACGAACACCCAAAGTTTATCGATTATTATCGTCTTGTTTGAAGATATTATAGTATTGTCGCTATTCTTACCTTTTAGAGTTATATTCGAGACATATTTATTTTCCAGCAAGTGTTAAAGTCGACGTTCTTATCTATTGATACTCAGAAATCTCAGAAAATGAATTTCTTCGTTTACTAACTCAACAGATGTCTATTTTCTTGCAGTCTTATCAGTGATCTTTTATCATGAATCTGTTGCCTTTATCGTGTCCATTCTACTCATATTTTAGCTTTTTTAACAATTATAACATGTTCTCGAGTGCGGCTTTACTTGCTCTAGTATTATCATTTTTTTCTTGCAACTGAGATTTATCCGCTTGCAAATACTTCAATTATTGTTTGTTTATTTGAGTGACTGCATTTCTTCGCTATCTTCATGATTTGATGGAATGAGATATATATTTTTCTTTTTATCAATGATCGCTGTCCTACTAATATTATTTGACAAAGTGAATAGCTCTCATTTTATTCGGATTTACGTGGTGGAATATTCGCTACTATAATGACACTTAAAATGACACTTTACTTTGTTTTTTACATCTGAAGTCTTGCGACACCAACCAATGAAAATAATTATCATATTTGCTCGCGTTATCTCTTTGATAATACCAGAAATATTTAATTGATTTAATTTCTGCTGCATGTATTGAAATCTTTGGATCACGTCGTTTTACCAAATGTTATAAGTCGAGTTAAAAAGTATTATTAATTAATTAATGTTATTAAAATTATTATGAAATTTGCACATTACAATATTAATATAATAATAAAAACAGACTCTAAAAGTCGCAGTTTATTCCAGTTGTAGTAGTTATAAATTAATTTCTCTAAATTTTAATTTCGAGATTGTTAAATTTCATCGTATTCACTATTGCAACAAAAATTAGTGATATTTTAAAGGTTTGTTATGTATTTTTACGTGTCGAACGCGAAGATAACATGATGTTGACTTAAATGAAACCTCTTACGCCTCCGCGTTTTCGAGATCGCCGCGTGGCAAAAATCTACTGATAACGTACGTGTAGTTAATTTGCCGGAAATCTACTCACCTTGTCAATTTTACGATCCCTCGGTTCCGTTTCGTTCCACGCTGCCGATTATTTTTTCGTTTTGCCGATGTACGATGAAAAGTGAATGTTCCACTCTGAAAAGATCGCACTCTAGAACGTGATTGCGGTTACATTCTTGCAGTTGAATCGCTTCATCTCCACGAATTGCTCTCTCGTTCGTCACTGCGTTTGTTGAGCCGAACAAATTTTCAATAATCACTTGAGTCTAAGTATTCGCGATTCGAATGTCAATGTCACGAGGCTCGAATGTCGAAAGATCAATTAATCGCCAAATTGAAGGCTCACCAATAATTATCATAGTTGTTTCGCAATTGCGAATTATCTTCGACGGAGAGAGAATATATATTTTTTATTTTCTTGCAAATCGATTCGATGATCGAAAGTTCACGCCGAGTTAATATAGTCTTGATTAATTTACTCGTCACGTCCGTTCGGTGAATGCTACATTCTCGCACGATAATGGACGGTAACTATATCAGTAAAATTTACTTTGCTTAGGTTTTTTTCCTCGATATTGTACTCCGCGAGTGTAAAGGCTTATCGGTCCACGCCACTGGTCCGCCGATCGTTAGACGAGGAGCGCTGATAGGCGAAACTTTAGTGCTATCGGCGGGCCAGCCTCGATGCCACTAACAGAAAAACACTCTCACGTTTTCCGCGGCGGTAGATACGGTCGACGACGTGGGGGTATTGGTAATTATGATCGTTTTACACTCTCTTATCCGCGCGATATACCGGGCGTCGCAATACGTTCAGGTATGATTGGACATTAAAAATGTTAATGTAAAACTGGATGATTTTTCTTGCTTACATCAACGATTTCTCGGGTATTCCGATATCGATAAATAATAACGCATAAAGAATATAAACCTGATTTTGTCAAAATACTAATTTTTGAATATGATATGCACTTGAATATATGCTTTTTGATATGCACTTGAATGTATGCACATATGTGTGTGCACTTTATAAAATGATGTGCACACACAATGATAATTTCTGATAAGAATACTGAAACATATTCAAAATGGTTCACTTTACATAGACATATTAAATAGCTGTTTGTCAGCGCGAAAAAATATTAGATATATTAAAATTTGCTTTTATATGGCAAAATGCAATGCAAATGTGTAATAATTACAAAAAATCTATTACTTACAGACATATTTTTAAAGAGAATTCAAAGTGATAAAATATTATTTATTTATTCTTTGAAAGAAAGATTTCAATGTCCTAGACGTATCATATGCATGATATATTTATGATGTACACTTTTATGTTATATTTACAAAAATTACAATTTTTAACATATTTATGGTACAAAAATAAGATATCATATAAAGGTAGCAAATTAGTAACACACGTTCAATTAGTATAAAAAATAAAGTTTTGTCATTTCTACGACGTAATTACAAACATCATTTTCTAAAACAGTCTTTAGATTTGTCAAGTTGTGATCGGTTGAAGTCAATTGACGCGTGCCTTTTTTTGGTTTCTCTCGTGATCATCGTTGTTCATCGTTCTGATCGACCGCTTTGACCATTGCAGAAAAAATTCCATTCTGTCGTTGCATTAAATCTGCCGGTGAGCCCTCCTCGCTGATTTTGCCTTCATCAAAAACAATGATGCGATCGCAATCTAACAAAGCCGCCGCTCGATGCTGCGCAAAAATTAGTTCCATTAAGATCTTATCTCTATCTATTCTGACGAGATTAAGTTTGAGATATTAATGTTAAAATTTTAGAAAATGTGTTGAGAAAAACTTTCTCTTCGCTGCTTTTAATCATTTCATCTAATCTTATTTTCAGTCTTTTCTATTTCTATTGGCATAAAATTACCAGTTACTATCAGATTTAAAAAATAGAAATACGTTTAATTAATATTAATATATTGCAAAAACATTAGATAAAAATACGAAAAAATACAAATTTATGCGTAAATTGACAATTTAAAAGATAACTTAAATATAGCGTACATCTAATTTCTAATCGATCGACTAACTTGACCGATTTTAGCAATCAGAAAGAGATTGACAATCGACTTAATTGTGGTTAAAGTTTAATCGGTTTATTTGGAAAAACCGATTATTCATTGGGAAAAATACATATCCAATTTATAAAAATTTACTAACCGCGATAGTGATAACAGTTTTATTCTCGAAGGCAATGGCAGCTGCTTTTAGAAGTGATTTTTCAGTTGCTATGTCAAGCGCGCTAGTCGCTTCGTCAAACACAATGATATTCGATCGTTGAAGAATCGCGCGTGCCATGCAAAGAAGTTGCAGCTGACCGGCTGAAAAGTTTTCACCACCTTCTCGTACTTCAAGGTCTATATAATAATTAGTTGCAATTAAATTAGCTTATTATTTTATATATTTTTTGCTACATGTATATAAAGTGTCACACAATTTGCGATTTTATTTTCCAGATTATCCGAGGAAATTGGAGTCGTTTTTAGAAAAAATGTCTAAATCATTTATCGTAGCTTTCAAATTTGGAACATCATATATTTTATTGAATTTTATATTAAAATTTTATTAAAATAAAGTCTAGTCTAAAATTCTAAGTCTAAAATTAATTAAAAAACATGATTCTATTATCTATTTTTTTTTATATATCTAGTTTGCGAAAAGTCCTTTTTTCAATTACCCGAAAACTTTCGCCTCAATATTTTGGCTAATGCAAGGAAAGTTTGACTCCAAATTCATCAGAAAATCTTTCACTAATATTAATGTCGCTAGTTGTTTATGTAAGACACCTTGTATATTAATATATTATAATGCATTATTACGTACTCAATCCTTCGGGATGCGAAGCTACGACGTCCTTGATTTGAGAAAGCTCCAAAGCTCGCCAGATGTCCTGGTCTTCGTGTTGCGAAAGTGGATCCAAATTTTCTCTATAAAAAATAAATAAATAAAATAAAATATCATTATGGAATAAACATATTAAATTCGCAAAGGATACATTTGCAAATTTTGAACTGTACCAAGGACTGAATATTTTGCAATAATACAAGATTTACGATTACGGCTCACACACCTAATTGTGCCGCTAAACATTATTGCATCTTGCGGTATGGCCGATAACCGCGATCGTAATTTTCGAAGAGGCACTTGCCGGATATCGATTCCGTCTAACAAAATACGTCCTTGACTAATCTCGATCAATTGGAAGAGAGCCATCACAGTAGACGATTTGCCGCTACCGGTTCTTCCACAAATACCCAGCTATAAATATTGTGCATAATATATCTTTATCGCGTGTTCAGATAAAGAAGATCGCTTTTATCTTTAATAGCCTTTCTTATTTTATTATTTTTGTTTCATTTATATTATGTTTTTTTTTTAAATTATTATTTATTTTATTAGCTATAGATTACCTTTTGCCCGGGAGATATTTTTAAAGAGAGATCTGTGATCACTGGATTTCTCTCTGCATCGTAGCGAAGAGAAACGTTCTCGAAAACGATTTCGCCCTTATTGGGCCAGTCATCGGCCACTTGTAAATCTAAAAGTTAGATAAAATCGATGCATGTACGATAAGAAAGATAACGAAAGCATGACAGAGCATTATATCTCTTGAATACGTGAAGAATGCTTTCACATTATTCAGTATTTCGTGCTTCATATTCTCGGTGTCGCGCAAATAAAGAGCGGTTTCCGGAAGTTGATTAATCGCTAAATCGCAGATATTGATTGATATTTAAATTCACGTCATTTCAGATGTACGATAACGTAAGGTGAAAGATTATCGCGGGATCTGCGGATATAAGCCAATTGATATTTCACTCAAAAAAATATTTCGCTGATGTAGTTAGATTTCTAGATATCGCAACAAGAATGTATCGCTATTTTTCGTATCTGTGAAAACATTGTTTGTCACATATAGAATTTATAGCAGTAATGTTCTAGCAATAGCTTCTGAAAAATTTAGGTACCATTGCTAAATGTTATTCATTGCATGATCTAACACGTGATTGATCTTATATAGATAGGCGCTTTAGAGAAACTTTCTTTTTTAAGTTCACAAACAATACAGATATACATATATTCTGTTTCTGTCATCTAAACTGATTAAGTAATTACATATGCAATATCACAACAGTTGCTAATCATTTATCTGTTTTAGTTAATTTTTTACACCTAGAAAATTTTAGCTATTATTGCAAGATCATTTTTTTGAGTGTTAATGACACGGTTCTTAAAACGGGAAATTATCACTTGTTTATTAGATCTGAGTTTGCACCCGTCACGAATTCAAAATTATGTAAGAATATCACAGACAAATTTCGTTTATCGATATTCATTAATATCGATAATATGCATGTTATGAATTTTTCTCTCTTTTCTTTTCTTTACAAGTATATTATTACAGTCAAGTTGCCGCGATGCATATTTTGAAATTGGGAAATATACTAAAAAAAAAATTAAACGCCAATGACGTATAGATTTTTGCAAATTATTAATAAAATTTTGAATAAATAAGAATAGTTACCGTTTTCGTGATAGTTTTCCGGTTGCATGTTTCTGTATGCAGAAATTCGGGCTACACTTCCCATATACATTTCGATTTCTGCGGTAAACTTGACCACCCAGTTCAAGTATATCGGTACTAAGAGAGTGTAATTGATCGCCAGGCCTACTAGAGCGGGTGTGACGCGGCTTGGGTACAATTCCGCAGAGAGTAAGGCCGTAAAAATAGCCGTTACCACAATAACAGCGCCCAGATAATCCTAAAATTATTTACAAAATAATAATTAGTTAAGAAATAATTAAAAAGTTTCATTAAAATTGAAGAGCTTGACACTCGTATCGATACACTCTATGACACAACTACTTATTTATTATTATTTACAACAAAATTATATGATAAAATAATCCTTTAACACTGATCGCAATTGTGAAACTTTTAAAAATTAAATATTCTTGCTCGTTATTTGTACCAATGCGATGCCGAGCCATCTGCTGCTGGTGTTCAGTATGAGAAACGCGTTGGTGTTTATGTCAAGGCGCCTCATTGTTTCCTCCATAAAACGATTTTCTTGCTTGAATGCTCTCAGCGTCGGAAGACCCGATAAAGTTTCTAAGAAATGCGCTGCTACCGGTCCTCTTGTGCTTCAAACGACATTTAATTATTTATGCATTTTGGCGAGAAGTAAAACAGATGCTAAGACAAAGGAAGCTTAATGAATAACTTTCAGTTGAAACAAAGGAACCTATTAGTTTATAAATTATTTATAGCTATACGTGTTGCTTTGTTCGTACTATTTTTTGGGATAATTATATTGATTGTTAATTATCATTTATTTGAGAGCGTGTAATTATATAGCACTCGTATATTAATTAGAATTTTTATTTTTTTCTATTTCAAATTTTTATTAATTTTTTTTTTTTGAAACATTTGTTTGGAATAGTTATTTATACCTGCCGTCTAGCCGTTGCAATTGTCTGGCACTCCGTCTATAGAATCTTTGTAGCACGTAATAAGCGCAGCTGGTTGGCACGGCGGCGATCAAGAACCAGGGTGAAATAATAACATTGACGATCATCGCCGAGCCACAAAGTAGCACAAAAGACGTCAGTCTTTTGATCGACGTAGATATTTTCTTAAGAAACGGAAAAATAACTTACGCTTATTTAAAAACAGCCTTATATATTCCTTAATTATTTCCGATGATATTCGAATTATAGCATTTAATTATCTGAGTCGATATACGATATCGTCGACTCTTAAATTACGCTAGCCAATTATTATCATTCTTATCATAGTACATTTTAGAGATCAATTGTTATATACCTTATCTATGACACCCATATCGGCACTGAACCTGTTCAGAATTTTCCCGATGGGATTGCAATCGAAGAATGAGATGGGCGCGCGAAGAAGTCCGGAGACGGCTTCCCGGTGTAATTTCCGCCGCGCTCTGGCACCTGCCCACTGGCCTGCTACATTGTACAGGAATGATAGAAAGATAGAACCTACGGATATGATGATGTACACCTTGAAGTACGACACCGTCTGAAAAAAGATTCGCAAACCATTCAGTTAAATGTCTTTCTTTTTTCATCTTAAGAATAATTTTCGCTCAGTTTTCAGCTTAATTGTAATAATTTACAGTTAATCTGATTTTTATTTTGACGCAGACTTGGTTTAAGATTATTATTTTCTTAATTATCAATTGTTGGATGAGAATTGAATATCTATTTACGTCTTGGCGTTCGTCCATTGACGAATGAACGCTTTGATCAGTCCAACGACTCAACCAGAGATCGGTATACACGCGAAGGATTTGATAGGCCAGTGCCGCTATGACGTAAACTAGTCCTGGTATCCATCCACCAGCTTTTGGATACTCCATCCAAATCATTCTGGTGACTATCCCGCTTTTATCGTCGGCCTCGAATTCACTTTGTTCATCCGTGTCGTCCAGAGCTGAGAGAAGTTCAAAGATTAAATCGGATACCCAAATCTTAAGATATAAAAAAAAAAAAACATATAAAAATGATTTATTATGTACAATAATTATAACTCTCTTCCACATCATCCATATCGTCGGTGATTCGCGAATCTATTGATAATAATTTCACCGAAATGATCGCTCTCTTGGTGCTGGCTTATCCTGAAAATAAGAGAAAACAGAATACGTCAGTTGCTTAATTAAAATTCTCTTTTATTGTAATTAATATTTTTATTCTAATTACTTGCTAGAACCGGACATCAGCCGACGTAGAACACTTGTTTCTCTGTTTATCGCCGTTTCTTCCGGATACCTGAAGTTTATCATTTTTTTTATTTTCTCAATAGCCCGTATTATAATAGTAATAATAATAATAGTAGATTACAAAGAAAAAGTTTGAAGTGCAAAAAGAAAATGTGAAACCTTGTGGAGAAGAATTGTTTCAATATATTGTTGGGCTGTCCGTTGTTGTAAGTGTTGTTTCTTTTTCTGCACAAAAGTCAAATGCAAAATATAAATCTAAATCTTTTCAGTTCTCTACGAATCAATATTTTAACAATATATCCGCGTATTTTACGCTAATTATTTATTTCATAATTGCAAACGTATTTAACGTTAATGGCGGAAAACTTGCGATAACTGACGATATTTTGATTGTGAGAAAAAATCAATTTGTTCAAAAAATTTATTAGTGATAGTAGGTTATCAGATTTATTACACTTTGTGTGTAAAATGTAAAAATAATATTTTCTCGAAATTCGTACCTTGGTAACACATGTTGATTCTCGAAAATAATTGGCGTACTATTCTGTCGAAGAACCAACGGCGGTCGCTTTTGTGGTTGAAGGCTTGCTGATCTGATAGTTTCGCGATACGTTTTCGATCGTTTCCTATCAATGCTCCATTCTTCTGTCGGCACCGGAAGGTCCGTGAGATCGTGACTCAAATATCTTGATCCAGATAAAGTCGTTCGGTGCAATCTTAAGGGTACAAATACTGGCGGACTCTGAAAAAGTCACGAAAATATATTATCGGTGCTATAACGTTATTTAACTTTCCAATATCTCAAACAAGGAGAAACGATATTTGTGTGCGTTTTGTTCTCAATGAAATTATAAGTGCTAAACAATTAATTTCATATTTTTTAATAAATATATTTAATTCGTTACATTATTTTATAAAAATGTTAAACATTATTAAAATATTGTTAATATACTTTTTCACTTACCACATGAGAATCGCGATCGAAGATCCACGAGCCGTCGCTAGCGTGTCTGTTTTTTACATTGATTCCAATTTTAGAGACTAATCTGATCAAGGACCATCTATCTTTGGCGGTTCGTTGAGAGTGATTTTCGTTCTCTCGTCTTGAATTCGCGATTCGCCACTCCTCTGCTAATTCAGGATCCATATCCTCAATGCTGGATTTTGTTCCGACGGCGCGCACTCGACAGTCCTCCATAACAATCACCTTGAAAAAGAAGAATGTGTATAACATGCATACATAAAAGATAAAATCAAAAGTTCTTCTATTGAAAAAAAATAGATTGGAAAGCTATTCTATCGAAAGAAGATAGATTCGAAAAATATTGAATAATTTAAACAGAATAAATAGTGAATAATATATAAAAATAATTATAAGATTAGAAATTAGTTATTCATTAAATATCAATCTTACAGAGAGCATAAAATAAAGTATAGCATACGTTTTTATTCGTGCAAAATATCGTTAAAAAAATCATGAAACCTGATGAGCAGCCGATAACAATTCCAGTCTGTGAGTGACCATAATCACTGTTCGTCCACTTCGCAATAGAAGCTTCCTCACGCCATGATCGAAAATCTGTCGACCCACATGGTGATCTAACGCTGACAGTGGATCATCCTGCGAGCAATTTTTAATTGAACCTTTTATGCGAAAAACTTTGCGTTAAATTTGTTACGTCCTCACCTGTTTGAGTGAGGAAATTTCGGATTAGGGTTTGGACGGCTGCAACAGCGGAATATATTGTAAATTACTCACAGATTAGGAATAGAGGAGGTGACTTTGCGAGTTGAACGATTCTGTTTCGGCTCAAATCAGGTCAACCATAAGGATCGCTATTACTCCATTTCTGAGCAAATTGTTTTCAAGATTCCTTTTTTTGGTCAAGAAATATCTAACTACTTTCATCAAGAGCGGAATCGCGTGCGATTTTCAAGGGAATAAAGAAACGTGAGGTCTTATTAATAAACAATTAAATACATTTTTAGAAAAAAAAAATTTAATTCTACGATACTAAACTTAAAAGTACATGGTTTATCTCTTTTACAAAAGACGAGCTAGATAAAGAATATTTAAAAAAATGTTTTGGTTAATGATATTAAGGTTATAATTCATGATTGAATTTTCTCTTTTACAATTTGTGAGGCTGAATAAAATACAAAATAAAAATGTTTTAGTTATTGATTTTTAGATTATAATTTATAGGTACTTATATGTCTGTGTGTGTGTGTATGCATATTAGGAGAAGAAAGAAAGCTGTGTTGGATTAAAAGTCGAAAGCGTGAGTAAAGTGAGGGGATCGAGAGAGGGTTTGTCGGCCTTCCTCAGGAATGAAGGGGTTCGGGAGTGAAATATTCGGGAAGGACACGGTCTCTGAATTCTCTGAGATATTGTGAAATTGTACTTTAGATGGGAAAAAGGGGAAAATTCGTTAGGTGAATTATTGGTGGCATGACTCGGAGTTGTCAGTAGCATGTTGGAATTTAGGTTTCGAGACCAGGTCAAATATTATTAAAGTAGGAGACGACGCGGGAGGGAATGTCGGCGAGTATGAAGGAGATGGATATTCAGGATTTGATAAAGAGATGATTTATGTTCAGGTTCATACATCGTGGAGTAACTGGGAGCGATGTGAGGGATGTGCCATAAGTGCGTTTATATCGGGAGGAAAGAAATTTCTATTCAGGATGTTCGCATCGTTATTGTTATCAAGAGGAGAAATGGGGGTGCGAACGTTTGGATTTACTTGATTATTTAAATTTGATTGCGTCGCGACGGACTCTTGGAAGGTATAATAATTATTTAGAATTTGCTGGATAATACGAGTATCGGGATTACTATATGTAGGCTGAGAAGAGTTATTTGTATGAGTGGTGGCAGTTTACGAGTGCGACTCAAGACTCAAAGAGCTCGTGGACTCGCTCGAATCAAATTCGAAATAGAGATCGGAATTTAGGTTAAAATTAAATAGAGTTGTTGCAGAATTTTAAGAAAGAAGGAAAGAGAACTCGAGAGAGCATGAGAGATGATATGGAAAATGCGCCTATTCATCTCGAGTCAGGAAAAGGCAGAGGCTAATTTTAGGACTTACTACTTGTTGCCTTGAGGCTGTGCCTGCCAAATTTCAAGGGTGATCCCTTGGGAGCACCAAGGCGTATCCTTGTAACGGTAGTAGAAAGGTCCTTGATTCCGTAGTGCATCAGAGAGAGACACTATACTGAAGCGAATAGCTTGTAACTCGCGAGCCGACCGAAAGTATTTGCCGTTATTGCCGACCATTCGTGGGAAAGTTGCGCAAAGGAAAGATCGTGCGGGACGTAACAGGTAGTTGTTTAAGAGAAAACCCGATTCGTCATCATGCGTCGAATTTTTTTTGGACATCGGGAAGTATCGATTTATTATATTCTTCCGGTGATCGTAATCCTTTTCCCAAACGGAGTATAAACTGCAGAGCAATTTATCTTTATGGATTTATTACTTCCGCTCTTGGGAATTTTTCAGTCGCGAGTGGATTATATTTTCCTTGCGCAAATTTGGCGGTTTATCCGCGAGAAAGTTGCGTAAAGGAAAGAATCAGGATGCAGGACGTAACAAATTCGTGAAATAAAATACGCAAACGGACCAAAATAACGACGTCGGCGTCACTGTAAAGGGCTCGGGCTATGGTAACTCGTTGCTTTTGCCCGCCACTTAAATTGATACCCCGCTCGCCGATCCTGATCAGATCCCGACCGGGAAGCATCTCCACGTCCTGCTGCAGAGCGCATGCACGCAGCACGTTGCGATACCTTCGTGATCGATATGCCGCGCCGAAGAGAATATTGTCTCGCAGAGTCGCGTTCTGGAGCCACGGCCGTTGCGCCACGTATGCGATCTTCAGCCCCCTGATAAGACGCATATTTTTAGCCGATAACGTACATTTCGATCACAATGATTCTAAAAATTGAAATTAATCTTTGTTATAATTACTTGGTCCATTCGACGCTTCCGCTTATTCTCTGAATTTCTCCCAAGAGTGCCAGTAATAGCGAGGTCTTCCCACTTCCGGTTTTCCCCACTATTAATGTCAGTTGTCCTGAAATGATCGAAATAAAATTCTTTAGCAATTAGATGATTTATTGTAAACTTTTATGCGCGCGAAAATGTTGCGTTGTTCACCTCGCGGGAAATCAAGAGCGTCGATCATCAACGTATTTTCGTCGGATCCCCAAGCAAAGATACTTGATGTGATTTGAAGAACAGATTCCGGAATTTCCGGATCTTTCTCGAACACCGTGTCAACCGACGAGTCAATCGCCAAATTGAATTCACGCAAAATATCCGATTGCGGATCCTCTTCGTCCTCCACAATGTTGTCCAACGAACCAAAAATTGTAACGCCGTTAATTGGTTCTACCTTAAAGGAAATAGCACGTTGCGTCGTGTCTGAATTCTCTCTTTATAAAATGTATTCGATAATTTTACAATTTTTCAATTTTAAAAAGCAATACGCGAAATACAATTTTTGACCAGAATTTAATCAGCAAATTAAGTCAAACATTTTTTTGTATAATTCGAAAAAAATATTTAGTCAGACATAATTAAATTGTTTATTCACTCACGTCATTGTCGCTGTACGAATTTGTCTTTGATAATGTATCGGCGGCCGATTTGCGATCGTGCGATTCGGGAAGGATGTTCACGATTTCTGGGAGTTGCAAAAACTCCTCCAGTCTCGTGGTAGAAATCTGGAAAGAGATATCGTACCGAGCTTAAGGAATTTCATCAAAAGCGTTATTCCTCACCATGGCGTTGATAATAATCGGCACTATCACCGGAAAGATGAAAAGCGGCACCGTCAGCTGCGAAAAGAGCGCGAGACTGGCAAAAACCTTCCCCGCGTCGAGATTTCGTTCCTCCAGCCAGAAATAAATTCCGAATGTGAAGAGAGTCATCAGCACGCAGGAGGCGTGCGTGAGGAAGTCTGCGATTAACACATATCTTTACTCAATTTTAAATTATTACAAGAATATAAGAATCGACAAATTATTAAAATATAAACGTCGCGAGGAAGCGACGTCTTCATATGTTACTTTTACGCACGATTTAAGCAGGAGAAGTTTGGAATTATTTACTTATGAGAGTCCAATATGCAGAATCCTTGTTCAGCAATTTTAATTCCTGATCTCGGGTGTTGCGTACGCGATCCTCAAAGACGTTCTCCCAGGCACGCAGCTTAATGAGACGCATTCCTTGAAGAATTTCATTAACCAGACGCAGGCGCGCATCGCTTTTCTCCTGAAAGTGTTTTGCGATTCGTATTATTCAATGAGAGATTGAATTATTATCAATTAAATATACGAAGCATGATCAATTATTATTGAAGTGATATATTACTTTGAGAAAGAGCAATATTAAAGAAGAAAATTGAAGAACAGCCGATTTTTTCGTACCGCTATGTATTTGGAATTTTCGGACATTCGTTTTCCGAGGACGAGCTGCATCGGCGTGACGATCAATATGCAGCAAATTGCTCCCATAATTGCACTGACGCCCAATTTCAAGTACAGTAGGAAGATGATAGCGGCAATCTGTACAGAAATCAAATTAGCACTGAAATAGATAAAATCATTCCGTATTAATTACGCGATAATCTTTTCTAAATCTAACTTTTCTATCGTCTAATTCTGATTTCTTTTTTTAAATTGCATGATAGAAACACGCACATGTTTGTTCAGATATCAAATTAGCTAAATCTCTTTACTTTCAACGGAATGGCCCAAATATAATGACCGATCCAGAAGAAGCTCATCACATTATACGCGTCTTCGGCCATGAGATTCGTCAGAGTTCCGATATCAGCTGCTTGCTGATGGCAATGTTGATCTTTCTCTTTGTCGGATGGCTTCTCTTCCTCGGAGATGCTCCAAGAAGACAGCCGAAGAGCTTTGTCGTAAATTAGTGCCTGAGCAAACCAATGAAATGCAAGTTTCAGCGCACCAAAATTGACAAAAGGAAGTAATTTCGAAATTAAATAAACAATAATTTTAAATCGTGACGAAATAATAAAGTACCTGAAGAGCCGTTCGCAAACGTATTCCTGCGACGCAGAGTACATGAGTGGACGCCTGGCTCATCGTGCTCTGCAAGATGCTCGCGAAAAAAACTACGAGACCCAGGAAATATCCATTTTTCAGAATTTGAGAAAATGTCATGGCTCCCTAAATAAAGACGATCTTTTTTAGATAGCTAAACGCATTATTGCAGCACTGAAAAATGGAACAAAGAAACAATGACGATACCTTCGGAGAGAAATATCCGCTCGATATCGTATCGTTCTGCAGATCCGATGCATAATCGATGATTTTGGAAATCGCCATGGGACCCACTAAAGTTGTAGCATCGCCGAAGAGCTTCAAGATACCACCTGCCGCGAAGGCCAGCCATATCCGCTTCCAGAAGCACTTCCATAAGGATAATTTCCGGTCGTGGCTTCGCAGCTAGGAATTTCATAACTCGACTTATTTAATTACATACATATATCTATAACAACATACACGCGCATCTACATATATGCGCGTCGAGCAACTACAATTGAAAGATCGATTGTTTCTTGTAA